CTTCATGGTTTTCAATGCAAACCCATTAAAATAATTGTGATCTTGTTTTGTAGTTGTCAGCGACCAACACTTAGTATTCTTTAATTATTTTGGATTTTAATGAAATGGCATTCATAATTCATTGATACAGCACATATTAAGCATCTTAAACCTACAGTATTTTCTCTTTTAAACAAATATTTTAAAATGCTGTTTTGAACATACAGTTACTCTTTGCTTTTTTTTTTTTTTCAAAGGTACTTCATATGCTTTAGAACAGACTTATTATTTGGTTTCCATAACAGTTTTGTTTTCACAAAGCTGGACCCCTTACTCAGAGAACAGAGACATAGTTAATTGTGGAATTTGTCAATTATATTAAAAATTGACATAAATTGAAACGCACAGAACTGAGACAGCTGAGGAACTGACTTCTCCCCATACACATATGAAAGGGGTTCTAGGTTTATGGAGTCATTGTACGATTTTCATTCCCAGTCATGGGGGTAAAAGGATGCTCCCAACCAGGACTACTTGCTTTCAGGTATCATACGCGTAACCCAATAGGCCACCCATCTGGCATTCAGCATTTGGCACACACTTGTGCTCCCACTGTTCTCAGCTCATTTTTTGAGCTGGCACTTCTTCCAGCCGAGCGACGATATCGATAACGCACTTGCATACAGAATGCTCATGTCGTATGAATTGCCTGGAAAAGGTGGATGAGAATAGTGGGGCTGCACAGATGCAGAGATTAGAAATCCAGAGATGAAAATAAATACATTTCTTTCTCTTTAGTTTGTCCCCAAAGAGAAAAATGAGCCAACTGGCTTCAAACCCGAAAAGATTAATTCCCCCTGCAACCTCATTCCATTCTAAGCATTTTTCCTGAATTGTCAGAGTCATTTCCTTCCTCTGCTCCCATCCCAAACGTCTCTTAGTCAAATATGATTTTGCTATTATTACTACTTGTATTACAGGAGGACCAAGTCACAGCTCATGACCTTCATATAATGCCAATGTCAGTAAAACACTGAGGATCAATGTTAGATTCTGTCTTTTGGGACTGAGTCTACGGAGTTTAGAAATAGAAATAGATAAGCAAAGCATAATTCTTGGTTTCAGGGCTTCTTCTGGTCTCTTATGAGGGCCAGGATTTACCTATTTTCCTCTCCTTGACACACCACTACTGTATTTATTAATTTGTTGTCTTCTGTATATGGTTATTTTCTTCTATATATAGTTACACAATTGTTGATTTTGGGTCAGAAAGGAATTTTCCTCCAAGTCTAGGGACTGCTGAAGGCATGTCAGGGCATTTTAATTCCCTCCTAATGCCAGGGCCAAGAACGGTGGCAATGCCATTGACCTCTCCTGCTCTGTCTCTGCGGCATACTGTTGTTTTCCCAGCGTTTACCTTCACTCTGCTAAAGCTCTTCACTTGTGCCATGGCATTAAAATATGTTTTGTGGGGTTTGAAGTGTGCCCAGCATGAAATGGATGTTCAGGGCTACCTCTGAATGAAAATTCAACAGCACAACTATGCAGATTTCCTAGGCTGAGCTCAACCCAAGGGATACCATGCAGCAAGGCTTGGCTCACTCTATAAGAGACACGACCTCTGGTGGTGTCTGTGCTTGAAGTATAAAGCCTTCTCCACAAGCCCATGCCACTGTAGAAAGTATGACTGAAGCATTGCACAACAGGGCATGGCAGCTTTGACTGTGTAATCCATAAGGGCCACACCTATCCGTTCAAAGTGGTATTGGAGTATCAACAGGACAAACAGACACATGTATAAAAAATGCATTGGGGTCCAGGATAGGAATGAACACTCCTAAACAGGCTGGAAGTCTTATTTTAAACAGGGAACCATGTTTTTCAATGAACATAATCCATCTTCAGTTGCAATAAATACAACTATGGAACCTCACATACTGTCAATGTGCCATGGAAACCTAAGGATCTTAAAGAAAAACACGGTTTCTAACCTGTTGTTGGAGTTACTCTGGCAAAATTTGGCAAATGAGAATTGTTTGAGAAGTAGAGATGAAACATAACAGATCATAAAATCACCAGCTTAAAAAACAAAACAAAAATATAAGCACAAAAAAAGACTGACACAATTTTGGGGTTTGATGTGTGGGTCAGTAAAACACCTTAGAAATGCCTTAGGAACAATCAGAATGTTCCATTTCCCAATTAAATATATTCGAATGTGAGCAGCATTCAAATATATTTAGATTTATTGTAGCTCAAAATCATTCTTGTTTGATCTAAATCATAATAATCATTGTTAGCTGAGATATTTAAAATAATAAAAGAGTGGGTTTGTACAAAACCCAGAACTATATCACAATACTCTGTTAGGAAGAAGAATTTAGTATTTATGGAGGTGAAATAAATGTAAGAAGACAAAAGAGCACAAAGGATAAATTATATTTATGGATGTGTATTGAGAGATGCAAAGCAAACATAGGAAGAGGTATTTGCTCTTGACTAAGAGTTACAGAGAAAACTCACCCACTAAAATAGACATGCGCTAAATTCATGGTGCTGCTTTTAATATACATCCAAGAAAAAGGATAAAAATGCCATTTCTCACAAGAATCACAATTTAACTCTAATGTATTCTACCCTTAAATCCATAGATTTTTTAAGGGGAAATTGATCTATTTTTGAGAAGGCTGTTCCTATAAAGCATAGTCCTGAGAGAGAATTGACTTACAAGTGACATTGTGGAATTATTTCATCATCTGCTCTTCGGTGTAACTAAATATTCACTGGTACTTGTGTGTCTCAATACAGGCAAGATTTTCATTTGGAAGATGCATGTCTCTGATCATTCCTTAAATTACATTTTCCTTTCTCTTCTAGAAGGAACAGACTTAAGGAAAAAGCTTTTCTATAGTGAACATGAGAACAAAGGCAGTTCTGGGAAACACAGCTTTCAGTTGTGGCAAACAGAAGCTGATTTCAGATACAGAATTGAAAAACTAGAGTAAATTTCTTTGAAGAAACACTTACTGTAACAGATCTGTCAAGCTCATCCTTATAAAGAGATGGCATTTTTTAATATTCTATCTTAGCATGATTTTAATGGGAATAGTGATTTAGAAAGAGTTGCACTGGCCAGTCACACTAGCTAAGAAGCTGCCCCAGCAGGTCTATGTACAATCACAAATTTAAAACTATATTGCTGCCTTAGACATCTAGCTAAATAGCTATTCAGAAAAAGAAACAGGAAAGGCTACAAACCAAACAATCCTTTCTTGCTTCTTATAAGCAAATAAGGATTTTCTCAATGAACCTTTAGAAGAGTTACAGCCTATTGCTCCTCAAAAATCACTAACAGGAACATCTAAATTTTTAAAATAATTTGAAAAAATCACAAGAAATGCTCCTATGAGTCCCAAACTCTCCTCATTAATAAATAAAGAGAAAGGGCAAATGAAAACCAAGACACCATTGTGGTTTGTGTGAACATATGGGGATATTAAATTGTAAGGAAATGAACTGCATGTGCTTTTAGAGTGGAAACTTACACATAAAGAAATTAAGAGTAAAGACACAATTCAGGCCAAAATAGTTCACACAGAGCAACACAAACATGTGCACCAGTCAGTCCCCATAAATGTATTGAATGTGCTGCCAAACAGAGCCAGCAATGTGCTGCATAGCCAGCTAGATGTTGTTTAACAGGAGATGGGGATCACAGGGAACACAATGAGCAGACCAAATTTACAGCTATTTAACAAAGCTTCCTTACTGTGCCAAAAGGCCTTTTTTTCTGTTGTCTTTTAATATTTGTCAAATAGAAATGGAGTATACTTGGTCTGCTATTTAAAGATTCATATCAGGCTGTAATTCTAAACAGTGAATGTGAAACATAGATGTATTTGAGGAGAATTTTAATCTTGAAACTTATTGCTGCTTCCTGCTTCTTTAGCCCAAGGTCTGTTTCTCACTAACTTATGGCACTGCACCAATTTCTGAACAACATATGCTAAGGTTAAAGGTTTCTGTCAAATCGGTTCCACATCAGATACCATGATGTCATATGTTAAGACATCTCCAGAATTTATCTGAGCATTACATAGCTTTGTATAAAGAAAGTAGCCAGTCATTGCTACTGGTTTCATCCCTTTGCATAGTTCCTCTGAAAGGAAAATGGGGGTTAAAAAAGATAATTTCCACAATAAGGAATGAATGAACACTAAAAATTGATATAATAAAGCTGGAGAAAACATTTCCTCCTACAAGGGGCAGATATTAATCAAATCAAAATTCAGTCAAAGCAGTGGAATTTTGAACATGAATCATCACTTCCCACATTCATTTAGACCTTGTAATGCACTTTATTCCTAGGATGCTGTTGGAATCAAAATCAGCAATATTCAATGAGTAGCCTCTGAAAAACCAGCAGAAAGAATGATCTGTTTTCTATTGATATATGTTTCCAGATTGATTAACTCTTGTGTCTAAGAAAATCCCAGCTCTGTTTGAAGTTCTTCCTGCTGCTTTGCCATTTAAAAAAGTGGATTCTCTTCTGCTTTAGAAGCAGTGAGTGCGTGGTGCCACTTTCTGACAATTAAAGCACTAATGAGAATCTTTCTTTTACTTGGCCACCTGTTCAGCAAACCATTTGGAGTCCTCATTTCTAATTTCTCTAGAGGGTGGCAAATTCAACCAGAGTCAGCTGAAATAGATGTGAAAATTAACTAAAGGAAAGAGTGGGGATATATAGGAAGAGTAAGATCTATACCTGTGGCTGCCTAAGATGTATTTCCTTAGGAAATAATGCTAAAAAGATGCCTGTGTCCCTGTTTGGTCTGGGTCTTATTAGACGGGTTATTACACTAGACGGAAGTACACACTAATCCAGTCCAGCAGTTAGTATGTTCCCTACATAAAGAACACATATTTAAATACATTATATTGATATGTGGGCATATGCGGAATAAGTCAATTGGAACAACACTGAAGTTGCTTCCTTTCCTCTTTTTTTCCCGCCTTTGCAGAGTATTTGGTGCTGCTATACTGCTGACATCCTCCCTCAACATGTTAATACCGTCTGCAGCCAGGGTGCACTATGGGTGTGTCATCTTTGTTAGGATCTTGCAGGGCCTTGTAGAGGTATGGATACATTTTAAAATAACCAGTAAATGTGACAGATGCTTGCTAGCTTTTAATTAGCAATTGTAACTTTTGGGGATTACTGATTTTCAGCGTGATGGATTTCAATGTATGAATTACACCTATTTGATTTTCCTTCATCTATAAAATTACATAGCAAAGTTTTCTCTTGCCAAGAAGCCAGTGACATACGTATTTAACACTGAAGTTTCACTGAAAACCTGTACAGGATTTACACTGGTGCTATTCTTAACAGTTATGTGCTCTTTAGCCTCACAGATTAAATCTATAATAAAGAATCAAGCTTCTGTCGTAGGTCCTGACCATGCTTTTGTTGAAATGAATGAGAGATTTACTGTAATTTAAAAGAGAAAAAAATTGAGCCTGCCTTTTAAATTTATTTGTTTGTTTGTTTCATTACTGAAAGACAGAGTTTTAGGCCTGTGACCACTGGCTCTTTGTTCCTCCAGATTACACTCTTCTGTTGCATGAGCTTATTTTAACTCATGCACTTTACTGTATAAAAAGACTCAAAGAGGGTGCAGAATGTGCTTGAAAGTTAGGTTCTTAAATTATACGTGTATAAATCTGGATCCACTGCTGAAAAGTGATCTGCATGCACAGGGGTGTGCTTCACTGCCAAGAGGAGAGGAACAGAAGCAAGAGAGTAATTACAAAATAAAATAGCTATTTTAGACCCATTCATTTCTGTGATACTGTTCAAAGGAATTGTGAACACAAAACATCTTTCCACATTTTGCATAGGAAACAAAACATCAGATTAAGAGAAAAGGGACTCTATATAACTATGCATACATCATAATAATTCTTAAGCAGGAATTTTGTGGAAAATTGCCGTAAACTTCATATTACATTGCCCAAAATTTCAACACTGCAGGATGTCATGACATTTTTTTTCTTAGTTTTTCTGTTATGAAGTTAAAGGTGGTTTTGAAGAGAGACCTAAAAAGTAGCTGGTTTAAAATCAAACCAGCTAACATCATTCAATTATTTGCTTTAAGTGTTCAAGAAGGTTCATTAAAGACAAAGATATTGAAAAACCTCTCTTAACGTTATATTTTTAAGCTCTTATTGATCTTATTTTCTAGTTTTAGGGCAGTGGAACAGTAATCTGTATTTCCTAGATTATACTTTGCAGTCTATACTTTAGATCAGAAAAAGTTAGAACGCCACCAAAACTGAGGGTTGGAGAATCAGCCCAGCATTAGAGACTCCAGAGAGCCTGTGTTTTCATCCTTCCTTTGACTCTAGTACTTGTGCATTGAGATACTCTCTTTTTAATTCTTCACAATTCTTTCCTGAAAGGGGGAGGGGTGGGGGGGGAAGGAAATAATTATGGTGTTTTTCTCTTTCATAAGGCCTGTGTAATGATTTGGAGTGATAAACAAAACCCATTTCAGCTTTAATAGAAAGTGAAGTTTTTCTATGCCTGTGCTCGGACTTTGCTATAGAAACGCAAAGCATTTTCAATTTCTTGTTTGTAGCTATTAAAAAAAAATAAAAGTCATGCAAAGACAATGAACTGAGTGATTGATCAGCATTAGCTAACTTGTGGCACACCCATTCCCCAGGGGGTCACCTACCCTGCCTGCCACGGCATTTGGAGCAAGTGGGCCCCCCCATTAGAAAGAAGTAGGTTAGCAACCACTTCCTTTTGTGGTAAGTACCTTTCTGGTTTTGTCTTTTATTCCTTTGCAACGTACAAGTATTTTGAGACTGATTTTTTTCTCCCTTTTCATCCACACATGTCTTGTTTTGTAGGTTCCTATGCAGGAGCTGTTATTGCAATGCCTTTAGCTGGAATTCTAGTGCAATATACTGGGTGGTCTTCTGTGTTCTATGTGTATGGTATGCATTTTCGCTCATCTCACTCCAATACTGTACGACCTTACTCTACCCTTTCTAAAAAAGTAAAAGCTACTGTTAAGAGGCCAAAAAAAGAGAAGTGGGTCTGTAAAGCCAAAAATACCATCTAGAGAAAAGGACAACGAAAGAACAGAATTGAAAGGAGAGAGCAGGAAAGCAACATTATTAAATAAGAAGGGAAGCTAGTTCATGGTGAAACTTTCGCCACTTCTAGTACAAGTAGTGCGAACTGCTGTGCAGATCTATAGAATCTCTGATCATGTAATGTTACTCCTTCATTTATCCAACTGTAAGTTTAGAGTACCTGCTCTGACTAAGATGTCCTGATTTTTCTCTGAAGACTTACATAACTTTATTCACAGTAGTTGTGCTACCTTAACTTACACTGATGGGAAAGAATGTACCAAAGGAATTCATTCTGCAGTGTAAAACTGATGTGAATTAGGGGGGAACCCTACAGAAATTTACTGAACTACTCAGGAAGTGCATTGTTACGTTGAAAACAATGCCACAATCTTGTATTTTGCAGGTAAAAAAATTAGTGCAGTAATCGAACAACAGTGGCTTAAAGCAGAGTGGAACTTCATTTACAGTCTGGTGAAATGAAATAGAAGCTGTTTCATTGTATTGCATTGTACAAATTGATGTTAAAATATCAGCCAATATTCACTTACAGTGAAATCATGCTGTAAATGAAACAAAGACGACTTCACTCTGCTCCAGCTTTGCATGTATTTTGCATAAATATTGTTTGCAGGATCTGACTCTCTGCTAGAATGACTCCACAGAAGAGCAGTAACAATTGCCATTTAAATTTGTTATAATTATTCCCAGATTTTTTCCTTGTTTGCTGCTTTACTGTGCATTTCTTTTTAAAGTCTTTCTTTGCATTCCAAAGGGAGCTTTGGTATAGTCTGGTACATGTTTTGGCTTTTGGTTTCATACGAAAGTCCTGCAAAGCATCCTACGATCACAGATGAAGAAAGGAGGTACATAGAAGAAAGCATTGGAGAGAGCGCCAACCTCCTAGGTGCAATGGAAGTAAGAATATTACCCACACACTTGTTTTGTATGAGATAGTAATAAAACCCCAAAAAACCCAAATAGAAACCAAATAGAAACAGCAACAAAATATCAAATACATTTCTTCTTTAAGACAGAAAAGCATGTTTTAAAAAATCGATTTTTTGGGGAACTTTTATAGTATCTTGAGTTGAAGTGGTTCATTTCCCTCCTATATAATCTTTTCTGAAAGGTTTTCCTTTTCCTGTAAGTAAACTAGAGGAAAAGCACTACTCAGTGTCTCCTGAGGTCTTCAGAATATCAGAAAAAGCAAATCCTGATTATTCTATGTTTCATTTGCAAGAAAGACTGCAAGTTGCAACAGAGCATGCTAGGACACCCGTAAGAACGTTCCCCGTTATTGTGGTAATTTTCCTGGAAACATGTCATCTGGCCGCCCATAATATGACTTAGTTCTGTACTGGTTTAGTTCTCAAGAACTCCTAAAAAACCCAGCCACTTAAAAATCCTATCATGCTAAATAATAATTTTCTTATTTCTCTAACTATTGAAAAGCTTTGAAGAAAACTATCGTCATTATTGATCACTCAAGAAAATAAAAACAATTGTTTAAGTCTCAGTTCACCTGCACAAATTGTTACACCAGCCCCTCCCAGCAGCCCCTCACTACTGCTCTTCATTGTGTTTTCTGATTGGTCCAAACATTGGCTCTTGATTGAACTCAGGAATAAACCATTTTTCTCTTAGTAAAAAAGCTTTGATCTAGATTAAATAGGCAGCTGGAAATATTACAGAAATATTCTTTGACAGCTGACATTTTTAGGTGTTCTTTGAGGGTCTGTTGGTATTCAACAGCATTCAGCAGTGTTCGTGGGTTTTATACTTGTAAGTGCTTTTGAAAATCTGATGCGAAATTATATACTTCAAAGGATGTCTGTATAATTCTAATTTGGGATGGATAATGTCTATTTTTTACTGTTGCTTTTTAATTACAAATTTTTGGAAGTTTCTGGTTTGTAGCAATAGTTCAGTTGCTTCTGAAATATTTAGGCTGAAATTCTTCCCATAGTATCAAACTAGCTTTTCTGTCTGGCTTCTCATTAAGTCAGTAGTACTTAATCCTTAGCTCTCACTGAAGTGTAATTTAATAGGTATACAAGATACTGCATATATTCATCTATGGGCTGGTTTTTCTTTGAAAAAGCCAGTATTCAAATCAACAGTAGACTCAATTCAGCCTGAAACATTGCTGAAATGGTTTTCAAACACTCATCTGGGTCTGGATCCTGTATTTGGATCAACACAGATGGGCAGAACCCTGGGCTCAGGGAGAGGTGCTGGGACTCAGCAGGATTGTAGTTCTGCCCATCTGTCTTTTTTTTTTTTTTTTTTTTTTTTATGGAATTCATTTTAAAAATACAATAAAACAAACAAAAAATATATTGACCAAGCAGTTTCAGCTGAGGCTTGATAAAAAAAATTTTCAGAATGCTGGAATTAAGATTTAATTGCTAAAATACATGCTTAAAATAAATCTGAATGAAATTGTGTAGTTACAGTGTAAAACCAGGCTGTTGCCTTACAGACAGCAACATTGTCTTTAAAGACATATTATTATTTTGGACTTAGTATGCTCATGTTCACACGATTGAGATAATGGCACTTGTACATGAGTGTTATGATACAGCTAAGTATCACTGAGCTTTTCCACTTGGGCATTTTGTAGTAAGTTTTATCTTCTTTTGTTTTTGAATTAAATCTTGATCATTCAAGTGTGCATGCATGTACTTTATGATAACTGAATTCACTGGAATTCAGACACATGAAGTTGTGCGTATACAAGCTTGTTGGAGTATAGGTAAAAGTAACAGACGGGAAAAGGGAAGATAGCTGATAATGATCAAAATGGTGACAGGATCCCTCTTTCTCTGTTTCAGAAATACAAAACTCCATGGAGAAAATTTTTTACATCTATGCCAGTCTATGCAATAATTGTTGCAAACTTCTGTAGAAGCTGGACTTTTTACTTGCTGCTTATTAGTCAGCCTGCTTACTTTGAGGAAGTGTTTGGATTTGAAATAAGCAAGGTATGTACAAATAACGTAAAGCTTTTATTTTAGCTGAGTAAATATCAGAGCTACATTTGTGGTATTTATTAGGAGGAAAGAAAAGTGTCCTGCAACTTTACCCAGTCTCAAATCTTATCCCTCCCAGTTACTGTTCCCTTGACCAGCACATATAAGTGAAGTAACAATAATGACAAAGGACTGAATAGGGGAAGGTGTCGGCAGGTTGAGATTTAGTGACGAATCTACTTGAGGTCATATTGCAGACAGACTTTCAGTTAAGTGCTTGAAACCAGATCATGCACGGTATTAGAAAGGTATCAAGAGACCCCTTACGCTTCTGTCCCTGACATCCCAGGGCATGCAGGATCCCACCAAAGCTCTAAAGAAAGCATCAACAAATGGTTCCACTTCTCCCAGTGCGTTTTGCAAAGCAGGACCACATGGTTTTAGGCAGGATAGTACAATTTATCACCTTTCAATGTCCCGCTTTAACATGGTGAGAACCGTTCACCTTCTCACTTAGGAAGCAAAAGAGGTGGTGGCAAAATTTGAGGCACAGGGATGATCCAAGGTACCACATAATTCATATGAATTTTGGATCAGATCTGTAATGTAAATATGGTACATGCAAACAAGCCTTTGGAGTGTATAGTAGCCTTCTACTAATACAGATTTCCTTCTTGTGAAAGTGATGGGGGCTTGTGATTTTGAGAGACCTGTATTCTTCTGGTACTGTTCCATGAGGTATTGTCACCCTAAATTGTCATGTAAATGACAATGAGTAGCTGCCAAAGTGTTGCTATATTACGGAGTATTGTCAAAATTATGTAATGCCATCCTGCATTTAAAGATGGGCTTCCATCTTTAGTTGGAGTTATTTTAAGAAGCTCTGCTATGCCTGAAACATCAGCTGTTACGCCTGCAATAAGAACAGTCACATCCTACAGAATTAACCTGACCATTTTGTTCTAGAAGATTTTTCTTAGACTGTATACAAAGAAATACGGAGCTTTGTAAACAATGACAGCAAACTCAGTTTTCATCTGCTGTGGCTATAGATGTTCCTAAATGAATAGTTATCATTTAGTCATGAACTCCTCAGAGCAGTACCTGCAATACCATAGTTACCTCACAGTTATTATCCGGCTTATTGGGAGAAGCATCTGTTAACACGAAGCTAGCTGTCACAACATAGTTCCCACACATATAAACTGCAGTGAAATACACAATTTCACGACCTTAATCAAAGACTAGAGAAAACTTATTTTCTTTTTACTCTCCTGGAGTCTGTCTGCTCTGCACGCTGATGTAACTCGAGTCAGACATCAGGCCAGCTGACACACTGTTCAGACAGGAATTGTACAAAACGCCTGTGCTTGAGCAATTTTTCAGATACACACAATAATCAGAATTCCCTCTTAGAACAAAATGCCATGTGTACTAAACCAACCTGCCTGCAAGGCGGTTACGACGACATGAGATAGCAGGTGGCAGCTCGTGCTGTGCTCACAGACACCCTGTCCTGCTTCGAAGGGGTGGTCTTCAAATATATTATCATACCTTGGAACAGTCATCACAAAATCACTATGTCTTACTTTGCTAGCATGTACAGCATTTTAATACTGTCGATGGATGTTTAGTATGTTATCTTTCACTGCCTACAGAGTTTCTCAGACATGTCTTGTGCCCATGTGAAATTTGAAGCTTGAGGGATGGTCAGAAACCAAAGGCAAATGGCCATTGTGCACGTGAGGATAATCCACAGTGAACCTGACTAGACATGCTAGGTTTGCTGGGCAATGCTACCCCAAACACATCACCAACACAAATGTAGCAATTCAGTTCAACACTTTTGGTCATAAATTTTCTGAAAAGAAAGGGCAGCAGGGCTATAAGTCAGCGAAAAAAAGACATTAGCTTAAATATAAACTGTGAAAACAATCTACAAACAAAAAGTGACATGGCATCAGAGGTTCTTAAAAACTCTGGCTGTCCTTCATAAAATACAACGACAACTTAAGCTTGCCAGTTTTGTTCTTTAATAAACCAGCTTCAGATTTCTAGTTTTAACACATAGCCTGAAATTGAAAAGAAACAATTAATTACTTGCTGAATGCTTCAGAAAATGAAGAATCAATATTTTCTTATGGTTTATACTCCGCTAATTCTAATGATTATTTTAGGTGGGTATCTTATCTGCTGTGCCGCATTTAGTGATGACAATTATTGTTCCTATTGGGGGACAAATTGCAGACTTTTTAAGAAGCAGGCAGATTCTTTCAACCACTACTGTGAGAAAGATAATGAACTGTGGAGGTGAGTCTTCCTATTTTATTAAAAAACTTGTTGTACAGATTCAATGTCCATATAGTATGCTCTACGCAGTAAACAAACAAACTGCATGGTTGTATGTACTTATGAAGCTAGACTTTGTGCACACCGTCTGCACTAAGAGAGCCCAGACAACTACCTGAGATTACATATCTGACTTCTGAGAGGTTAAAGTCACATGAGCTGAATCCTGGCTGTGATGAAGGCTGCAAAATTCATAAGTAGGTTAAGTGTATATTCCCATTAGGGTTGGCTGGAACGACCTAACCAAATCACAAGTCTTTCTTTTCATTTAAAACTGACAGGAGGTAACAATAAATTAGCATACCAAGAATAAAATAAGGATTATCTGAGACAGCAAGAAAATGTGGTTTTTAGGGGTGAAAGAAATACCTGATTATATTCCGCTCTGAGGTAATGTTTTGCCTCTGTCTTCCTATGAAATATTACCATATCCTGAGGCCTGCAGTATTTGAGAGGGAATTAAATCTGATGCCTGGTTTTCTTTATGATTTCCCCAGGTTTTGGTATGGAAGCAACTCTTCTTCTCGTGGTGGGATATTCTCACAGTAAAGGAGTGGCTATTTCATTCCTAGTGCTTGCTGTAGGCTTTAGTGGATTTGCCATATCTGGTAAGATTATATTGCTGTTACAGTTAATTATTTTATCTTAAGAGATAGAACACCTCGTTTGTTTTTTATTCATTGAAAGTGGTTTAAACAAACCTCAGAATTCCAAATGACACTATTTATGACCATCACAAAAGGAAGCACAATCAGTACCACACCTTTTATATTAGATTATTTGTGTTCAAATACTTCAATCTTTTCCATATTCATTGCAGCAGATTAGGCTTTCTTTTCATTGAGGTGCTAATGTACACCACAGATTTTTCTTGAAATCAAACATAATAAAAATTGACATTATAGCATGATACCTAAATTTACACAACTTTGTTTAAATATTGGCCTTTTACTATTTTTTTCCACTGTGTATTAGTTAGTGCTTTATTAGTCTTACATTTTTTTATTACTTTGGGGCCTAACTACTAGCCATTTTTTTCTGATTTAAAATTCAGCTCTTCCCCTTTCATGCTGATACATGACCCCTTTGCCTTTCCCTTTCCCACACACGAGTCACCTGGCCTTCCCTTGTTTTCCCACTGTGATCTTAGTATCCTCTCCCATGCTGGTTCCTTATGTCTAAAACAGGCTCTTTTCTTTTGTGCCAAACATATAAACTCTCCTTAATCAAATCTTTCCTTAATCCCACATATTCTGCAAGGTATCATGCCTGTTCCGTACAGCTTGAAATGTGTATTGTTCTTTCTCTGACCTATATCACACTGCCTGCATTTCCCTTTTATTATCTTTCTGGATCCAAATATTTGATTTCTGTTTTCACTTATTTAAATGCTTATTGTGGGGACTACGAGTTCTGTCACTTCAGAGAAGCACGTGTTTTTTGTAAAATTATTTAAATAGTTACTGCATATATGTCAACAGATTTGAACTCCTGCAAACGCAGGAGAACAAACACGTATTTATAAAAATGATTGACAAATCATGTATAGAACCGTCTTTGAATTCCCCTCATTTTACCACTCAAGAATAGAAGGGAACTCCCTTCCCCTGGTCTGTGTGACCAAAAGAAAAAAAAAAGAAAGTAGGCAATAGGTAAGGAAAGTAGTACCAGCTGGAAGAAGATATGACATGTTATTTACAGTGTGAAATGGTCATGAGTGACACTGTGAAATATGAACTTTCTCCCTGCCTAAATATCTTCTGGGTTCTCTACCTCACACAGTCACTACTGGGATTTTCTTTTTAATTGCAATTTTGGGAAGAAAACACATTTGGTATCCTTTTATAATATATTTTTAAAAGAAAATGAACCCCACAATCTCTCTAGGAATATTTAACCATTTTAAAACTGTGGTTAAAAAACCTTTTAGAGAAAAAGAAATGCAATGAAACAGCCCTAACATATCACAGTAAAATTGTCAAGTGATAACATTTCTTTTCAGAACTGAAGGAATGCTCTGCTTTTGGTATGAATGTTTGCTGACCTTTGCATTGCAGGATTCAATGTCAACCATTTAGATATTGCCCCAAGGTATGCCAGCATCTTAATGGGGATTTCTAATGGAGTCGGGACCTTGTCTGGAATGGTTTGCCCTATAATTGTTGGAGCAATGACAAAGAACAAGGTAAATGGCAATACAGTTTTCAAATCTTCCAGTTTAATATGACTGGTTTCAAGAAAAAGACCTTTCCATGGTACAGCTTGCAGGATATTTGTATTAGAGTCTGGGACCTCCAGGGGATAGCATCCAGGAACTTGCAAATTTGAAGCATACTTCAGTATACGCTCAGCAGAGCAATGCTTTTGTGGGCTAAGGAATAGTGATTTTTCAAAGAAAGATGGTTATAAGTAATTAGGAACCGGACACTTAAATGCCTTAGTTGTGCTGACTGTCACAGCCTCGATCCCTAATTTAAATCTTTTGGCTCAGAAAAGTTAGAAAAGACTGTGCACTAGTCTGATTTAGCAAATTTCTTCTTTACAGACACGTGAAGAGTGGCAGTATGTCTTCCTCATTGCTGCTTTAGTTCATTACGGAGGTGTTATCTTCTATGGCATATTTGCTTCGGGAGAGAAACAACCCTGGGCAGACCCTGAACAGACAAGTGAAGAGAAATGTGGTTTTATTCATGAAGATGAACTTGCTGAAGAGACAGGGGACATTACTCAGAATTATGTAAATTATGGTACCACCAAGTCTTACGGTGCTACAACCCAGGTCAACGGTGGCTGGCCTAATGGTTGGGAGAAAAAAGAGGAATTTGTACAAGAGGAAGTACAAGACTCATACAACTACAAGGAAGGAGATTATTCATAACAAACCTAAATATTGGGTATATTTTGTAGTGTTTGTGATTAAATTCATTGTGATTGTTTGCACACAGAAATAAAATGTGGTATAAACATTTAAACACATATCAAACAAGAAGGTCTTACTGTAAAAAATAATACATCAAAGTGCAATCTGTATGAGTTGTGACATGTCATCACTTTCATTAGGTTATATTTGTTCTATAAACATTAGAGTTTTAAGGGTTTACTGGTCAAAACTATAGAGGCAATTAGATACTTACAGTATACAAGAGCTAAAACTCATTACTAAGGATTAAAGCACAACTAAGCAACCAAGTTGGCACATCTAATGCTCTTTTTAGAAAGCCAAAATTACTTGATCATTAAAAATGCACTTATATATTTGTTACACTGTATTGAAAGAGATTGTGTTGATTACACACGTTTACTCAGTGCAATGTAGGAATTGTGTGTTTAGTCTAAGATGAGCTTTCTCAGAGAAGAAAGGTTGAGTCCTAGGCATTTACAGCGGATTGATCCAGTTCCTTTAATGGTAATTGTATCAAGCCTAGAGAATGAATAGGGCATATTGTATGTTTATTGTGATTACATGCTGCAGGATACTCTGTGATGAATAAAGGAATTATTTAGGAGTTTTATACTGAATGTTTGGGCACAAATTCTTATTTCTATTCTTTACAGAATCTTATAAAATTATAGGCATTGTCATGTTCTTCCCTTCATTTATCAACTAATATAAAAACATTATATAATGTTAAGTCTGACTTTTCATGCAGACTGTCAAATCCCTTTTTCAAAAACCAAGCTTTATTATTCTATTCTTTGCAGTATATTCCAACTTTGTACTGGTGTCTTTACAGAGAGAAAAAAACAATATAACCTAGAAAAAGATATAGTCTTTTACAAAATTCCAAAGAGAAATTTGCTATGAGCAAGTAGCCCTATGAAAAAGGATGTATTTGTTTTGCAGAATATTTTGAAGCCAATAGAAGAAACAGAGAATAATTTAACCCTTATTCTTCCCTTAATAGCTATCATATTTTTACACATCATGCCACAGTTCTATACATAGATATAAGTTTATTGAAGATACTGTAATTATAGAAAATGTTGCTATTTTAGAAATCCCTGAAATAAAAAATGTATTTGTCTTTCAATTAAACCTAATAATAATGGACACTGACTATGAGTAACATATAAACTCATAATAAACCAAAGTGGTAAATAACTAGTGTTGAGTTGAAAGAAGCCAACAAGCACCACGCTTGTCTCTTTAGCATAACTCAACAGTGACTGCAACATTAGTGTACCAAGCAATAAGTGCAATGCATTACAAAGTGCATAATCTTCTAGACTATATATTAACCTTCATTTAGCTTGTTGTATATATTTGGGGTTGTTGGGATTAAACCAAACCGAACCAACTGAAGTTAGCAACACCAGACCACTTCTTAATACTCTAAAATGACAACAATGATCCATTTCTTAATTCAATCAAATGATTATTATTGTATGTAATAATCCATTCTGGATTCTTGGTCTGTTCATTGTATTGTGCTAGTGATTGGAAACCCTGCTACCGCAATATACAACTTGAGGATTGTTTCTTCTCCTTTTTTTTAATGCAAATCATACCTTGACCTTAAGAAAAAAGTATTTTGCTTTGTGCCTCAAAGTGATGTAAAATGTGACCATAGCTTTTGCTGTGTTTAATGAAAAAGATGTGGACTGTGTCACTTTCGTTGCTGCAAAAAGTGTTAATAAAATGCTCTATTTATCCTTTTATATAAAAAGGACCGTTGTAGTTTCTTGTTATTTTTCAGATGCACTTCAATATAGATGACTAAAATTATAGTCACTGCAGAAGAAATTCTCCTGTCAACATGGAGATAACACCTTACGTCCCAGCCGGGAGCTCTGCTGAATACCCAACATCCTGCATTACCTACACTCTCCTCCGACCGCGCAGAGGTGCGTGGTGGGAGAGGCACCTAACTCTAGAGTGTTGCTCCTCCTCTCATAATGATGGCTGGAGGAGGCATGGAAGAAAAAGGAGCAGGAGGATCATTGTGTCAGCCAATGCAGTGAAACTGGGGAAGACAGGCTAAGCTGTGTTAGCTAAAGAGCTGGTGTGGATCTGCATTACCTAAAGAAAATTAAAAGCTTCCCCGAATGCTGTTCTTGGAATCTGTTTCCTTTCTTGCTCCTGCAACAAGACTCCTTAACTAAAACATGTTGTTACTTTCTGACCGTCTTTTAGATAGACCCTACAGGAACTAGTAAATTCAAGAAATTGTATATTAAAAGTAACTATTTTTCTAACAAAATTTTTACTCTTCAATAATTTTCTTGCACTGAGTAGAAGAATGTAGAAACGCCAAACTGAACAGAAGGCTGCAAAACACTAGACAGAACAGTAATGGGCCCAGTGTCCCTCACCAATAGGCTAGTTGTCATGAGATGATGAATCAGGTAGCATACAAAGTTACTGCTAATCGTTTTGATGGACTGGTGTGATGTTGCCATCGAAAATTCCTGAAAGATTCAAAAGTGGGATGAATAGGGGCTGTAAAAGTACTGTTGTATTTATCATGGTAAGTGGACAGCTCAGAAAATGAAAACTAGTTAACAAAATTAAAATCAATTCTTAGTTTTCAGTCTAATTGTACAGGCTCTCTATCTTTTGGAGTTTCAATAATAATTTCCTTTCATTAAGTACAGGTTTTTTTTTTTGTTTGTTTGTAATTAGCTCAACACCTTTTAATTACTTAGAACAAAGGAGAGACTTTAATCCAGGCATTAGACACTGCACTGTTCAGCCATGCACAATTCAGTGGGCACTCCACCACTGTCTTTAAATGCTACACCACCCTAAGATCCTCCACATTCTCTTTCTAGCTCTCTGCTTCTGCTTTGACTACTTCCTCTTTAAATGGCAGTGCAGAGGAATCCGTTCTTCTGGGAAGGAAGAGGAGCACGACAGGCTTTAGGATTTTTTACTTCTTCACAGACTCCTGTTCACAGAAAAATACGGAAACCAATCACCAGGAACACGGCTGAGAAAGAAGAAAGGGAATTGGAGAAAATAATTGGGTTCTTGCAAAGGATGATTAAGTGAAGACAAGCAGCAACAGCTGGATCTGTTTTAGGGAAAAGGACAGTTGAGGGGGCATGACCCTTCATCTAAACTCCTATATTTCTTCTCAGTAAGTACATTTATGTGTCCCCCTTGCTACTTCATTTTTATGAAGTAGCATTGCTAAAATATACCTCTTTAGCCTCTTCTGAACTGTGCCTTTTCTGCCCAGAGATTTCTCTCTGCACTTGGGTTCAAAGACTAGCTCTGCAGATGTGTTGCACCTGTATGGCACAGTGTTCCTCTTTGGAACTCTGAGCAGCTGAAACCATCCCTGTTTATCAATCAGACTGCGTTCACAGTCACTTGGTCATTCTGCCAGGTCACCTATTTCTGTTCTGCTGCCCTGTCTGGAACCCTCTGCTCACTTACTCTGTTGGAAAAAAAAAGGAAAGGAATTGTTATTCACATTTTTGTTTATCAGTTAGTTATCTCTTCGGTGAAGAACAATAAGTAAAATGAAGGGGCAGAATCTAGGTTCCACTAAAATTATTAGAAAATCTTTGAGTTTAGCTGGGCTAGAATATCACCTCAAATGTTCGCCTTTATGTCCTCAAATGATTTCATATAGATAGTATCACTCAACCAGTGACAATTTTTTAAATATTTGAGTCTGATCCCTTCTGTTAACACATACTCGTTGTCGCAGAGATAAAGCTATCATAAAGTGCTCTTTGCTTTCAGAAGTGATCATGAAATTCAATGGAACAAATTTCACAAAACCACTTTTCTATGGGGGAAAAGAAAGCCTCAAGGTAAAGGTTGAATAACAGTGACAAAAGAATATCTGCAAATATGAATGAAGTCCTCTTTCAGCATGAAGCTAGGAATAGGAATGAATGTGGAAGTCAGAATAAATGTCACAGTTCAAAGCCATACTGTTAGCAAGATAACATCACAGTCTTAGTTGCTGCCTCTGAAAGATGAAATGTTTTGTTCCTTTCAGGATAAGCTGTGAAGGAGTTTGAAGGCTAGCCCAAGTCTAGATTAACTACTTAACAGCAGCTGCTTTTGTACTTATTTTGAATTTGTCTGTGGTTTTTGCTTGAATAATTTTCATTCCACTGCAAGATTTAAGAGTAAATAATCACAGGACCTAGAACTACAGTCGGATATTTTAATTAGAATGTTGCTAATCTAGCTCTACTTAACACTTTTTCACTCTGTTGTAACCCAAAGCGTGCCAAAGAATGAAATGTGTTATGTATTTACATATGTACAACTACTGAAGCCTGTGTACTTCGTTACAGTGAGGCCAAGTGTTTAGACAGTATCTTCCATGTTTGAGAATTAATGTTGCAAAAGGATTGTTGTTACCCCCTTGGTAAGTTTTTTAACATTAGAAACATACAATCCTTGCAATTTTTGCTTTAGGTGAAGCCATGTTCTCTCAAATGCCATGGGTGAGGCATTAGAAAACAATACAAAGTAAGATTTTGGGTGACAGTCCAACCTCTGGCAGGCTCTTACCTATAAGAAAGCAAGTAGAGAATAAGTATGAAGGGCAGATGTAATGTCAAACATAAAATATAAGGATAAGTTAGAAATTACGGGAAATAAAGTGTTGTAGGAATATTAAGGCAAAGCTTATAGAAGAAGCTGCCATATTTCTCACTTTTGCTCATGGCAGTAGTGAGAAGAAAGAAACTGAATATAAAGTCCTAAATATCTGGTCTACCCTATCCTGAGTCTAAGGTATGATCAAAAGCTGGCTCAGAAGCTGATTAGCATGTTCTGGCTGTAGCCTACCTTGTCCTAACATAGTTTCTAACACATCTCTCTGTCAGGGCCACGAGGGAACCTAAAGGCCTTAGTTGCTCTGAGCATCCTGCCCTGGGTCACCCGCCTGCACCCCTGTCCATGAGCGAGGAGACCCATTTCAGCTCGGGCCTGGGCTTCCCTGTCTCTGGTCTGTCTTCTGCATAGAAGCTGGATCTATGTTGTGTCCTTGTCTCCAGGACTGCCTCTGGCCCACCTCCTGTTGCTCCTGAGAGGGCTCTCTGGATGAACCCTGGACCCGATTCATTCCCTGCTGTCTCTGGGACCGTCGGTGGAGCTAGCACCCTGCTCTGCCCATGCTTCCCAGACCCTGTGGGACCGCACCCGGTCAGTAGTGGCACAGCCAGCAGCTGGGGCAGCTTTGGTTCATGGCTCATTTCCCTAGCGAGCTGCCCTGCCTGCTCTTCCTGGTCCCTCCTCGAGCATTTCCATTGCACCGGTGATAGTCCAAGACTTGCTAAACTTCACTTGTCAGTTTGCAATCCTGAAATTAAGCACCTTTGTCAGTCCCTGAAGAAGCAGAGCTGTGCATAATGATCCTGTCATTGTTTTCTTAAAATACAATGAAACATGTGTTGGGCAGGAGATTCAACCTGTTAGATACCAGAGCATACGGCTTTATTAGCAGTAGGTTTTGGGTTCCTACTTAAAGTTTATCTCCGTCACAGATGGAATCTGCCATCATGGATATACTCATGGTGTCAGTTTGTTTTTCCAGGAGGAGCTGTTTCATTCATCAGTGTGTCTTGATGGAACTGGAACAAGTTTTCATCCTTGCACCCACTGCAGGCTTTTTTCACTGAGTACAAGGAGCTGCTATTACTATCCTCAGCCCTTCTGCCAGAGGTGATCAGAATTTCCTTGCACTTTAACTAGCTTTCCAAAACTGATATAGCTTTACTACATCTGGCTAGGCACTGTTGCATGATGGCACACTGTTTGCTCACAAAAGCACACAAGGAAATGATGTTCTTGATCTTTGCACTAGCCAGGGTCAGCAGTTAAGATGGATGATTCGCAAAACTGGCGATCAAGGCTTTATGTACAACCTTGTACGACTGACAAGGAGTTGATGACAAGGTGTTTCTTGTACCCTGAGGATCAAATGGCAGGTTCTGCGCACAAAGAATAGTGAATGAGATGAACATTTGACATGGACAAACAGTTCAGCTATGTTTGGTTTAGCAAGGTCCCAATTCACATTAAGTAGTATGAATTCGTTCAC